CACTCAGATGCCGATATAATTCTCCGGGCGGGGTGGTGTGGACGGGGGGGGGGGGGGGGGGGCTCAGCCTGGGTCTGGGGTGAGATGCATTCGCTGAGCGAGGGAAGCAGAGGGGTGAAAGTGTCGCTTACTCTGCCACTCCTGCTCCACGGCGCCCCCGCTGGCCATGCAGGGTCACGCAAAGATGAAAATGCGGATATCAAGAGGGCCGCTGCGTCCGCTGGGAAGCACCGAGCAGGGAAGACGCCCTCAAGCAGTGACACAGCCTCACCAACCTCAGCTGTGTGCATGCAGCGAGACTAGAAACCAACACAGAGTATGTGTGATGGAATTGGGTGCAGGAAAAACAAACTGGGTGGTCTGGTCACTGCCGCCAGGGTTACGGGTTTAAATCCCAATTCTGCTGCTGAGGATGGGAGTTCACCTGCTTGTCCTACATCACATGGCTTTTCTCCCACAACCCATATGGCACATCTAAACTGCCTGTTGTATGAGCTTGGACCCTATGACGTACTGGCATGCCATGTAGGCTGCTCTTTCCTACATTCTCTGTGCATCCTAGGACTGGCTCCAGGTTCTCCAATACCTCGTACCAGGGGCACTGTATTATTTTTTCCCTGAGATCCAAATTCCATCGGTGACAAAAGCCAGTGTCCACTGGCCTGAAGGGGAGGGGGAAGTAAATTTCACTGCTCACTAGGAGGGAGGGGAGGGGTGTGATGGTGATCATCACTACATCACTATCATCATGGTCCGTGGTCTGAATCAGCAGCGATACTGGACCGGACCTCCTTTTACAAGCAATGACAAGCTGGTGCCCCTCCTGGCTAATACTGCTGTAAACATGTTCTGGTCTATTAACCCGGTGACACTAAGACGTGGGCTCTTCACAAATCGCATCGTGTTTCACAGCTAATCCTCCAATTGGGTGATTGCACCTATAAACCAATCAGATCTTCTCCTAGCCACATGTGGACCAACCCACCCACCACCACTGGGAATGTCTTGTGTTATGTGACCGCATGTGATTCCTGTTGTCTGTGTTTGTGGTTTCCTGTTGTTTGTGGAGACTTCCAAGCCACATTTTGGACAATGTTCCTTCGGGCCTATCGGTTTAAGAAGGGGCTACACTCTCACGGGACATGTGACTTTTTTCTGTTTGGGGGTGGGGCTTATTGGTGGAGGGGGTGTTCCTCTGGCTAGCTGGCCATTTTCATTTTTTAACAGGTGTGTAATTGTTGAACACACCACAGGAGTCCTCTGTGAGTAAGGGTCTTGTATGACGTGTCAGTGGACTTGAGCCTCTAAAACTATGTTTCCCAGTCGGGTCCTCAGTGACCCACAGACAGTCCACATTTTTGCTCCCTCCCAGCTTCTAACTGAGAGCAAGAATGTGGATTGTCTGGCAGGAATCTGGGAGGGAGCAAAAACGTGGACCGTCTATGAGGCCCCAAAGACAAGGGAAACACCGCTCTAAAACATTCCCAAATCAAGGTGCGGCCCTCCCCCAGTTTAACTTAATTGCTCTCAGGATGCCTACTGCAGGTTAGGAGAGTAAGGTAATGCTGTTTCGGAGGCAGTAATGAGGTGTCTACCCAAATGCCTGCTGTTGTAGAGTTCTCCTATGTTTTGATGTTCATAAATATAGTTTGGCCTTGCAGAGTGCTTTCACAAACCTAGGATAGATCAAAGTAGCTTTCAGTGGAAATATTCTCCTTCCTGGGCACTTCATTAAACACACATCCTCTTATCCTAGTGTTTTTCCACGGCGTGTCCTTACAAATGCAGAGTGTATACAGCTCTTGTGTTCTCATCTCGCTGGGCCTTCTCAGATAATTATCGATGCTGTGGACGAGCGTCGTGTTTGACGGGCGGGGCTTGACCACGCGGGCGGGCAGACGTACCCGTGCGGATTTACGGTCAGCGACAGGCTAAAACTCCTCGAATGGTCAGAAGTTAATATCACTTAATTAATTTGAAGCACCAGAGCACAAAGCTGGAGGAATGCAAAGTGGAATCTGTGTCGGTAATGTAATAAGCAGTTCCCGCTTAATGGAGTCTCTGCTCTCTTCTGAGGGGGGATGGTGTGGTGGTTGTGTGCAGTGGCCTGCATGGAAAAGGGGCAGTGCTTGTGCAGTGGATTGGGGGAGCTGGAAGAGGCAGACCTTTTCCTGATAGGGTAATAGTGAGACAGGGATGGGTGCACTACGAAAATGGGATATGGATCAACACTGTAGGCACTACTCTTTATGCGAAGGCAGAAACAGCACCTCCTGCTGGCCCCTTACCGCTTTGGCAAGAGCAGCCTTATCATTTATTTGCTCGACTGGCTTTCCTGATTTTCTCGTTTCGTTTTTATTTGCCTGTCATTTTTTGACATTTGCATATCGCCAATTACCGAAGCCGGAACTGCACATGCGCATGAAGCTGCATTAATTGGCATTTTCTGCGTCGGTGTTAAAAAGGTGGTCATATACTTCAAACGACATCCCGGCAGTCTGTCTAACGTTAATATTCAGCCAATAGTGGCTGTTAATAAAGACAGAAACTTATTTTCCATTTTAAAATAGCTGTCATCTCCCATATTAAAATGACTCACGCACTCACCACAATACGCTTATTTGCGCTCTCTGTGTGGGTGTACCGTATCGAAAACATTCTGTGTCCTCTAGGGTTGTGGCGTGACAAACGCTGTGTCCAAATTCAGGGGCTACACCCTTCAAATGCCGCGATCTACGAAGGTATTGCCTTTGTAGGCTGCATTCTTTGAAGGCTGAACGGAAAGCGTCGTCAAATGCGACAGTCTGCCCTTACCCTTGAGTAACAAAGTGCTGCTCCTATCGCCTAAGCCCAGACTCTCCCACTTTACCTCTGCGCAATGAATCTTGGGATATGTTGAGCTGGGAAGGATCCATTGGGTAGATCCTTCGTGACTCAGCAAAAGGAGGACGCATTTCAAAATGCGACGGCCTTGTCGCACTGCTGCGACACGTTCGGTTTTCAAATGCAGCCTTAGAAGGATGCAGCCCCTGAATTCAGACACAGCCTTTGATTTTGTTTTGTTCAGACGTCGTTTGAAGTACATGGCCATCGTTCCACGTGGTACTGCTCAGATCGGTGAATTCCCACAGCCGGTTTGCTCATTTCTAGTCGAAAAACACGTAAATCTCTTTGTCTCATTACCGCTGCGGTAAATAAATTTAAATGCATTCTCCAGCTGCAGATGTTGAATAGCACAAACCAATCAATTGTTAATTACTCACAAATTAAATCATGTGGATCCTATTTTAGTTCCTTTGGTCTTTTTTAATTCTTCACTTATTTTGTTCATTAACTGGTTTTATCATTCCTAATGTTTCACAACAGTGTTGGTCTCCTACTTGATCCTAAGTGCTTCTTATTTGTCGTCTTGATCTTAGAACGAAAACTCTCAGTGCTCAGAAACAAGTCGTATCAAAGACCTTCCCAATATGCATGTGTGAGCCAGGCTGTGGCACTAATGGGCACTTCAGAGGAAGCTATGGGCTGCTTTTCCTTTCTTGCGTCTCAGTACCTGAGCCTTTGTAAGTCACGGCGACGCAGCAAGTCGAGCGACTTGGGCCGGCTCTCCATTTGGAAGAAGGCAAACTCACAAATGTGGTCCTATCCGGCCCTTAGTGTTTTTTTATTTATATAAATTTCTTTTGCTCAGGAGGAATTCCTGCAGGGGAAGGATCAACGATATGGTATCGTTTCCAAACAGTTTTAATTGCTGAGTGGAAGATCACATACACATGATGAAGGTCTTACATAAGCTCCTGGCTGGAAGCTTCTCTCTCTTTGCAAAACCTATTTACATGCCCACTTCAGAAGCATGTTATAGCAGCATGTGGTGGTTGGAGCCAATGGAACTTGGACTGAAGTCATCAGACATACTACTCATCAGTTTTATAGAAAGCCCAAACATCGCCACAGGAATAAGAACACCCGAAGACAGCAAACCACAGCTTAGGTATTCTCCAAAGCAAGTCATATTTTATGATGCCTGCCCAATTCCCCCATAAACCACTGCTCCTCATTTGCATAACTCCCTCCCACTCCCACATAGTTTCTAAACAAGGGGACCGTTCAAAACAGTCTGCACAGTGAAAGCACCCTCTGCTACAATATTAAATTAGCAGGTCCAATCAGAGCCGCCTCGTTTAGCATAATGGTTAATCACTTGGACGCACAAGCAGAAAGTAAACGGTACAGGTCCCTTGGAGGGAGCTTCTGTCTTACCTGTAAGCAAGGTAATGGCAGCTGCTTTAATGAAAACCCCAACCGTGTGAAAGGCACGACTGTAAAGTGGCATGTATGAATCCTGGCAGGCCGGTGAGAGGACACTGTGGGTGGGGAATTAGTGGCTTTATTCATATACAGATGTGGAGATGGGGGGGCAGGTATTCTAGGCTCACTACTAAGAGAAACACAGGAGAAACAGGAAAACAAGCTGGGCATCAGGCCTACAGTGCAACTCAAGTGACTTGACCACGCAGCACAGCCGCATGAAGAATCCATCAAGAAAATGTGCTTACGTTTGTGTTTCGCCCACATATATAAATGTAAATAATATTAATAAGAATATAAGCTTTATGGGGGGGCACTGGGGGGCATGCATGTTGTCACAGGGGCACCCCCCCCCCCCCATGCTGTGCCATGAACTGAAAAACCACAGCTGTTTCACAAACAGTCGAGCTACTTAACAACTGATGCCTTCTTCTGGCTTCTGAGAGACAGTAAATGACTATTTTCCCTTAGAAGGACTGGCATCCCATCCAACCTGCTACCCAGCCTTGTTCCCTGTGCGCTTCCTGGGCACTGGGCCATGCTGTGATGCTGTTCTGGATAGGCAGTCATGGATGGATGGATCGATGGATGGATGAATGGATGGATGGATGTTATTATGCAAGCAGGAGTAGACACCTTCATCTAACTCATCTTTCCTTCTCTCCTCTTCTCCGCTGCCCCCTGTGGGATAGGTTCCGCACCAGGTGAGTGCATTGACCTTCTATAGGTATGAGCAGCCGGTAATGGACTACTGCCAAGCCCACCAGCCTTTGCACCTCAACATGGGCTTTGAGGGGCCCCCGCAGGCCTTGGAGGACAGGGGGCTACGTGAGCGCAGCATGGTGCAGACTCTGCCCCCCAACCCCGCCTCGGCCGCCACCCTCACCCGGCCCCGCGCCTCTCCACAGTGAGGGAGGCGGGAGAGGCTGGGCTGCAGCTCAACAAGGGACCCAGACTGGCACAGAACTGTGGGGCAAGGGGGTGAACCTGATATGAAGCAGTAAGGGGTGGGGGGGGGTCGTTACTCACTTAATCAGACTTGTGTCTCATCTGAGGAAACCCAGTAATGCGGGGGGGTGGGTGTGTGTTCTAGAGAACCAGAACAATTTATCAGTGCAATATGGGTGTATAAAGACAAACCAATTGAAAGCTAATTCTGTAAATGATAAGATGACAAGATGACACTTTTCAAATGTGTCATTTTTTTAAGTTGGTAATGAAAATTCTAAATATTTAAATATAATTAATTTGCTCTTCATTGAGCAGTTCCCTCACCTAAATTTTTCGATTAATTAACGTAGGTGTTTCCCCAGAGCTTGGGAGATAATTTATCAGAGTGTAAAGAAAACAGCACTGAGGAGAAGAAGAGGGACTGAACTGCAGAGCAGATTAAAGTTTAACGGGGGGAAAGTCTTTTTCCCGTTGTGTCCGAAGCGGCTTACAGTTGGTGTGAACACAAACGCCTCTGTGATTGTTTGATTGTATGAGTGAGTTGCCCAGCATTCCCACTCACACCACAGCATTTTCTTACTGACATGTTGATGTATTACTGACACAATCTCTTTTTATATTGCACTCTATTGACAAGCAACATCACCTTAAACGTCTTACCAAAGACAAGTACATGTCTTGTTTCCCATGTTATTTTACGCTTCTTTTCACATACGATGTGCTGGAATGCAATTATACGCAGGCAATAGAGAAGATGCCTCGTTAAGGGCATATTTGTAACTGTTGACCCCTTCGGGTCCTCCTGGTTCTGCTGAGAATGTAGGCCTTGCTGGTGCATCTCACTCTTAATAATCCAACAAGTCTGCACTGTATCTACAAGCTGAGGCGTCCGCACCCATCTGATGCTGAACCACCCAGACCTTTGGCCAGAGGAACCATGAGGGGCTTTGGGACTCAGCGACTGCACCGGGGTTGTTCGCTGCCCCCTGTAGACCTGCGTGTGAACTGCACTGGGCCCAGGTTACTCCCCAACACCCCGAAAGACACTCTGGAGTGAACCCTCCTCACCTGCTATCGCTCTGTCTGCTCCACCTGGATTCTTTCATCCCGCCAGCTTCTCCCCCCAAACCATTCACCCTGCTGCACACAGCAGCCCCACCCCCACGCCTGCAACGGAGAGGGCCAGCCGTCGCCGCTGTTACATTACGGGAGGGATCCGCCCTCTTCGGAACAGAGCTCCCCAGCTTCGGGGAAAAGAGGGGCGTCTTCAAGGCGCCAAGGGAACACTGACACAGATCTAATGGAACTTGTTCGCCTTGTTAATCTTGTAAATAGCAAATAAAAAAAAGGGATGTAACTTCTTCAGAAACACAATCATGTGCCCGCGAAGAGGAGCCTTATCTCAAACCCAGGTGAGCCAGAACAGAATCGTCTGATGGATGTTTATTGCGAATGGATTTGTGTGGGGCTTTGGGAAGCTGGTGATTGGCAATACAGGCTTGCTGTAACAGAGAATTCCTACTTTATCTCATTTTTCTATTCCATGTTTCATAAGAGTCTGTTAAACCCGGGTCAATGTGTACGGCTAGGTTTGCATTCTGAAGGAGCGCCCAGACTTTTCGGTCAAATTCTCCCGCACACACACCTCTAAGCCATGCATTCCTCAAAAAGATGACTTTTGTTTCAAACACGTATTTGAAATATCATACTGCAGCTACCATTGGTTTTAAAAATGTGTTTTTTTTTTTAACTGTTTGCTTCTTAGTTCTGTCTTTGGCAGCGAGTGTTGAGTGTTTCAGAAAGAAAACGATAAAAGTTATCATTGCTTTGTGCTCACAGCGTCTGTGCATCCTTATAGCCATCTTCAAGGCATGATATGACTGAATATGCAGCTATAAATGGTTTTATACACCTTAAGAGAGGGAAATTTAATGAAATAATATTTGATGGGTGGATGAAAGAAGGCTGACTGGAGATACCAACATCTCCCTGGTCACTGCAGAAGGTGTGACTATACAGTATATGAAGTCCATCTTGCTTTTGATAATTGGCCCCCTCCTTATTTTGTAAAGCAAATTTCTTATTAATGAATCGCATTAATAAATAATGTCGTGCTTTCCGATTATCTGCCCCTTCATCTTTCTTCTGGCCTTCTGTCTGTGATTGCGCTCCACCTCAATTCTCCATCACCTGCAGCAGCTTTCCCCTCCCACTCGGAGCCCCCTCCTATCATCATTTATCTTCCCAGCATGCATTGCATGCATGTGTCCAGCTTCCCAGCGTGCACTGTACGCCCACGTCCATCTTCTCCCTGTGTGCGTTGCACTCACAATCAGCTTTTCTGCCCAAATCGCATGTGTTCGCACATCTTCCCAGCATGCAGTGCGCGTCAGCTGTCCAAATGTGCCCCAATAGCGTAAGTAAAGTTCTCCATAGGTTTTGTCTTAATTTGTACATCAATGGAACCCCACAAGGGCCCCTCCATCAAACTGAGCTGTCCATCAACATGCCTGCCTTGTTAAAAAAATTAAAAAAAAGAAGCAGCACATAATTTTCCCCACTGAATGCTCAATCAGTTTCCTTGACCTTTTAATTGTTGGCCAATTATTTCCAATTTTGCACTAAGCAAATGGCAGAGACAGAAGAGGAAGAAATTACATTTATATTCCCGTCAAATTGAAAATATTCAATATTCATGATCTCCTTTATGATAATCGCAGAAAGTAATGGTACATAATGAAATATTCTCATGCTCACTGATGCTCAACTAACTTTCAATAACTCTTTACATAACCTTTACAGTTGTATGATTGCAGTGTTCAGTTTCTGTGCTGTTTTGCCCCTTTGAAATAATGAATGGCAGTTCAAACAAAGTTACAGGTTAAGAACAAAATACAAAAGTGTTATATCCTAATATAATGTATAACACTTAATATAATTGTGTTTTAGGTAATTGCAAAATAACGTAATTACAGCATCTCTTTTTTTCCTATTCCATTGTTCTGTTTTAATGAAAATCAAACCCAACATTAACTGGTGAAGTCATTTCAGAATTTGCACTAGTGCAATTGTCCATGTTATACTGTAATCTCATTGTACTTCCCCAATGACTATGTTCAAACAAAAACACCTGTTTAAATTTCTTTTATAAAACCAGTTTTGCATTGTTCCTGCCATTTATACCTTAACTCTTTGATGTGTGTGCCATTTCTGAAAGGATTTGGTGAGGTATTAAAAGATCAATGAAGAAAAACTGGCTGAATCATCCCAGCAATTACCTACCTGAAGATAAGGCTTAAATTTAATAACTCATAAAGAGTCTATGAGAACACATGGAAATCACATGACTTCTGTTTTTTTACTTCCTGTTTTAGTTCCTGTACTTCCTGTGCTTGTCTTTATTCATTCAGTGGCTGCAAAATGGCCAGCTTGTTCATTCTTATTCCGCGCACATCGAGTCTTTCCCAGGCAAGCTGTTCCTGAATGTCCAAAACAGACATTCGAAGTGGGGGTTGGGGTGCTGAAAGACCCTCTTCTGCGCTGACCCAGCCTTTGTCTGTGTGACGATAGGTTTTCCACGTTGCGGTTATAACGTTTTTTCCTCACTGTAGGCTTTCTTACGATGCGCAGGCAGACTGCGTCAGCCACAGCGAGGCAGGTGATTCCACCCGTCGTGTCCGGTGTTACGGGCACACATGCATGTGCGGTTGCGCGTTCCGCTGCGCGTGCGGCTGCGTGATACAGTCGAGGCTTTTCGAGGTTTGGCCCAGGAATGTAATCTGTATGGCTATTTCACACCTTGTGTTCAACTTCTAGGTGGAAGTCACAAAAATTCCATTCTGGGGGGACACTAATGAGCTCAGTCCCTGTTATAAAAATTCCGCCATCTCTCTGTTAATAAAGCATTTAGCTCCTTTCGGACTCTTTTCGGCCCCATACATTACAGTCATACATTCCCAGTCATACTGCTATTCATACTATTATTATTATTCTGTATTGTCAAACTTGCAGTGGCAGCCCAATACAGGTGGCTTACCTGCTACCCTGCTCTTCCTCTTAGGAAGGGACCTTCTTTCTAGCAGGTAAGAGAGAGAGCGGGGAAGGTGAAAGCCAGGCTCGGATCTGCAGCCCGTTCTATTACACAGACTTCAGGCGGAACGGACAAACTCAATTACGCTTGACTCCTGGGCCGTTAAATTAGTGTTTGTCATTCGCTACCTGACATTGTGTCTCTGGTGTAGGTTCAGCTGGGGGTGGGGACGACGGCTGAGGGCTGTCTACACTGATAACTCGGACTGTGTAAACTGACAGTTCAACAGTAAAAAACTATTTTCTGCCTGTGCTTGCCTGGACGTTAGAACTGTTAGTTTGTTTCTGTCAAAGACTTTTCACCTAGAAGTACCAAGGATGGATTAAATCATTTATCCCCACGTCTAGTGCTGGTGTGCTTTCTTTCGTGCTGACTACATGATAGAAATATCATTACAGATGTCAGTATCTAATTTCTTTATGCACTCTTACATGTACGTTCTGTAATAATGATTCACTATGCCATGCAACATACAGTACATAGCTCCCGGGGGGGGGGTTTCTCCATAAAAACCGCTGGAGGACCGAAGCTTTTGCTCAGTTTTCAGAAGCAACGTTCATAATTCATTCATTATTGCAGGTGTGTCTAAAACATAAATGATGTATGTTTAGAGGTTCTGCAGCGCTCAGTCATTTGCGTTTATGGAGACTAACGCCATCAGCTTCCCATGTAATTCATCCGTCGTCCGTGGCTCAGTCGTGACGCTTTCGTGATGTCGTGATGAAGCAACACTTTAAATTGGTGTCCTACTGATGATTTGGACCTTTTATATATTATTTTATATATTATTATAATGACAAAATGGCACACCAAGTGTTTATATGGAAAGGCCAATAATAAATAATGATAATAATGCTATATTTAACATTAGCTGTACCATAAATGTGTGTTCACACCTCTATACGACAAGCAGTTTGATTCTCTGGTGGAGATTGCAGGCTTACGCTGTAGGTA